CGAATTCATTCCCTTTCAAATTTGCTTTCACTGTCTAATTCGCTATACTGTGTGTTAGTTTATATCTGTTACATATTTATACATGTTAAACTGTGGGAAATGTACCATAAAAGTACAAAAAATACAAATTAAAGCAGAGAGGCTCTTACCCCGGGTCACTACAAGATGGCGGGTGCGGCGGAAAGAGAGATCAAAGGACCCTAAACTCCGCCTAGTAAAGTACAATTCAAGTAGTCCGCAATAATGCCTGAACTAAAACACGCATTGAAATGTAAATAAGCGGAGTTCGGGGTAAAATAATAAACGTATCTTCTTATTGCATAGCGCACATTAAATGAAACCACCTGTATATTGTCAAAGCAAATATATTAAATATTGTAGCTCAGACTGTGGCCACTACGTGGCGCTGTGGCATTTTAATAAAAAGGACCCTCCTTTTATGTTTTGTTGTGATTAAACCAATTGGAAAAACGTAGGCATAATAAACATCTTGGTCTGGTGCCAACGTTTTTAGCAACAGATGTGTTGTAATTAGTCTGAACAAAAGATGATGTCGCTGAACACCAGTGATTGATTGTGATAAGTAAGGAATGAAAAATGTATCATTCAACAAATATGGGCCATGACTTAAATCTGTTGGATTTAAGTCATGGCCCAAAGATGCGCGTAACTGCAAATTCTGATGTAACAGAATCATAAAAGGCATCAGAAAACCCTGTATATGTGAATATTACAACTAGATTCATGGGCTTGTTAGTTTAAATGAGTTGCAGTGCTCCCAGACGTGATCACTCTTGGAATTTCATTTCACTCTTTAAAATGTCATTGTTTCCATTGCGCATTATACTGAAGCGAGAATGAGAGGTGATTCTTTACTAATCTTTACCAGATAATTGTTTTGTTTTTAAATCACACTTTTATTTTCCAGTTTGTTTTGCAGCCTTTCCATCACGTGTTCTCACTCCAACGCTCTAGATGGCAGTAGATACGTCAGCCGCCATTGAACATCAGATCAGAGAAGCAGTGTAAGCAGAGTCTCTGCAGACCCAGCCTTTTCAACGCGCAGCAGTGTGGTGGAAGATGGCGCTAGCCGAATGGAAATCCTAATGACAGTCTCCAAATTTGCGTCTTTTTGTACCATGGTGAGTGCGCACCCATGTCATGATGACAGTCGTCTTATTGTAATGATACACGACAGCCGCGCCTGTGCGGCGATCGTTGTTTTTAAACCGCGACATCACGGATTAAAGCAGTTATTTCTGGTTGTATGTGCTAGCCAAGCAGTTTTCCGTCCAGGGCAAAGGCAGCAGCCTCCCACCGCCTCCTCTGCGCAGTTTTTCCGCTATCGGCAGCAGACTGACACTTATCTGTTGACTGTTTTCACTCATACTTCACACTTTCACAATGTTTGTTATTGTTTGTTATTGTTATTTACCAGAGATTTTCAAACAAAATTCAGCACCTGCTGCTGTAAGATGTTCACGGCTAACTAGCTTTAAAAAAGCTAAAACAGCTTAACAGCAGCTTGGCTACAACTGGAACACAGCTGGATGAAGGATGGATCCTCACTTGAGGACGATTCATCGTCACTTATTAATTAGGAAAATAAAACCGTCAAACGTTAATGCACTGTCCCCGACCTTTGACAGAAGTGGCAGATATTATTTACACTGTCTGGCAACGGGGTTTTAGTTTAGCGGCGCAGTTGTGGATCAGATCCAAGCCTATTATGTCCACCCACGGGTTGTTGTTGTGTGAACATCCTGATGAGGCCTGTCAACGTTGGCATAGTCAAACACATCCAGTTCTCTGCTGCCTCTAATAACCTCGGGGATTCATTGCCCTCTGATTGGAGCAGTTGTGTTTACATTATGTTTAGTGATATCCAGATTAGGTAAATGAGGATGCGCTGATTGTGATATTTTGGGCTGATATTTATACCATCTTGTGATATAAGCGTTTTTGTTGTCTTGGATGATATGTTTTGTTGTTTCGAGTTGTGTTTGAATGCATTTGTCTTAAGGATGCAAACATTAAAATAGTGCTGCTTCTGTATCCAAAATAAAAACATAATTCTAGTAAAATCTAAGTGTATAATAACCAGCATAAAATCTTGTTGGTGTTAAAATCATGTAAGTGTATTAGAAAAGCAGTGAAGTTGAAAAATGTCTGATTTTATACAGCACCCAGTTCTTTTGAAAAGGTTACACTTTTCCCTGCTTCAACACAACATAAATTGTACCGATTGCCTGATTCCTATGTATCTGTATAGTTTACAAAGAGAATGTGGATGGATATTATAGCTTAATATTTATTTCCAGTGAGGTAATGGTAATTCAAATGACCACAACAAAGGAGTAAAATAAAGCAGTGCAGAAACACTGCACATTTGAATGGAAGAGTCTTCTGATTTATCTCCTGTTTAACGAAATGTTCTTAATTTTCCTGAACCTGTGGTTCTGGTGTTAGGAAAAGAAAGTCTCGGCTTTCACGCCTTAAGGCCTGTTGGTAATTAATTCATTTCTGAGCAACAAATGACCTTAGAAATACCAAGCTGCTGCCATTTATTTTGGCACTTGCTTACAGCGTCGAGTTGGTATTTATGCATCATTTGCCATTGTTCTGTTCAGAATAACACAGGAACTAGTTATGTTCTCATTATATTTTTTATACTGTGTTTATGCAGGGCGCCAATGCCTCTGCTCTGGAGAAAGAGATTGGATCTGAGCAGTTTCCGGTCAATGAGCACTACTTCGGCTTGGTCAATGTGAGTAAATGACGTTCCTTGAGTTGTGTTCATTTATTGCTCCCAGTGACACACGCGTTGACTTATTGCTGTATTCTCATAATGTTGCTATAGTTTGGAAACACCTGCTACTGCAACTCGGTGCTGCAGGCTCTGTACTTCTGCCGGCCGTTCCGAGAAAAGATCTTGGCGTATCGTAGTCAGCCCCGTCGGAAGGAGAACCTCCTCACCTGCCTGGCTGACCTTTTCCACAGCATTGCCAACCAAAAGAGGAAAGTGGGCGTCATACCGCCCAAGAAGTTTATCACTAGACTACGCAAAGAAAATGGTGAGAGGAGTCACACAGTCTATTTTTATTCCCAGTGGAACTGCCTAGCCTGTTTGCCAAAAACAAAAAGTCATGTTATTGGACTGCTAACATGATAGCATCATTGTATACTTATTGACTTCTGTTCTTTTAAAGAGCTTCATTAACTAAATGCCATGCACCAGCAGAGCTATCAGATTACTGTGAGGCTAAGAAGTTGCCTGGAAAATAGCAGAGGTTTGACATGGTAAACACGACTTGATGTAATTATTACTGAAAAATATTCATTATTTTAATAATTATTACTAAAATATCTGGAATAAAAAGACACTGAAAGGTGGACATTAAATTAAGATCGTTCAGAAGTTGTTTCAAGTGCAGCAAATAGATGGTTCGAGGGAAAGATCTCAAATGCCATAAGGAAATTCATCCCAAAACCAGAAAATCCTATCAGAGTAGAACTGATCTGAATTTGTTTTTTATTCCCTTCCTTCTTCCTTCTCCTTCACCACTGACTAATCTAACAAAAGGATCCTGCAAGACCTGTTGAACAGCTGAAACACAGGGCTAACATCTCTTTCTGTCCACCCCCCTCCCCTCCAGAGTTGTTTGACAACTACATGCAGCAGGATGCCCACGAATTCCTGAACTACCTTCTGAACACCATCGCCGATCTGCTGCAAGAGGAGCGCAAGCAGGAGAAGACAAATGGCCGCCTCGCCAACGGGACACTGGACTCCCAGAACAACAACAGCAATGCCACGCCCGCGCCCACCTGGGTCCACGAGATCTTCCAAGGCACTCTGACCAACGAGACCCGCTGCCTCACCTGCGAAACGGTAACACGCTCCGTCTGAGCGTGAAACATGACTCGATGGCTTTTCAATGCATTCGCGAACGCGTCTCCGCCGTCCTGTTTGAACAAGTTTGTTTTCAAGTTAAACAAATCTGCTGCAAGTGTCACACGGTGTAAGGAGAGAGCGCCTGTTGGCACAGGGTTGTGTGGGTTTTGTAAAGCAATAGTGTGTGTGGGTGTGCACGAATGTGTGTGTTTATGGAAAAATGTATGTTGCCTTTTCTTTCAGATAAGCAGCAAAGATGAGGACTTTCTGGACCTGTCTGTGGATGTAGAACAGAATACCTCCATCACACACTGCCTCAGGTAAAAGGGGCACATGCAGCCAAAGGCCGATGAAATAAATTAGTCTGGATTTGGTTTTTATAATCCTACATTTCCTTAATTATTAGTCAGGACAGAGAGGAAGAGTCACAGTTTGTGAGGTCGGATGTCAGAGTGAACAAAGGTCCAGATTGTTAGCATCTGTAAAATGGACCTTTTTTCAAGCTGTGGCTAAAATTCAGTGCACCTCAAAGAAAACATTGAACAGATTTTTTTTTTCTGAAAGTTATTGCTAAGCTATACCTGTCAGTGACTTATTTATAGCTGGAGTATGAAAAAAAAAGGAACAGACTGTGAGTTCACAAGAACGAGAATATTCCACTTCTGCTTTAGAGAGAACAGGAGTGAAGTCCTGGGAAAAGATGACGAACCAATGAGACAGAACTGAAACTCTTAGCCTTAGGTCCTGGCTAATCAAACATTTGTGATCTTTGGAGCACATTTAGTTTTTTGGGGTTTAGAGCAAGGTTGATTATGAACATGAAGGGAGAGACAAGGAACCCAAAGAACACTGTCCTCACTATGAAAGTTTTTTTTTTAACGCTGCATTACAATTCAGCATTTATCCAGACTGACCATCCTCTCCTTGTCTTCACAGAGGTTTCAGTAACACGGAGACACTGTGCAGTGAATACAAATACTACTGTGAAGAATGTAGGAGTAAGCAGGAGGCGCATAAGAGGTGAGGGACAACAGTAAATCCTAATTTAAATTCTCTTCTTTTGTGTCTGTGTTCACCGCTGACCTGCCGTGTCTCTGACACTGTTGTCTCTCCGTGGTAACAGGATGCGTGTAAAGAAGCTGCCGATGATCCTGGCTCTGCACCTGAAGCGCTTTAAGTACATGGAGCAGCTGCAGCGCTACACCAAACTGTCCTATCGCGTCGTCTTCCCCCTGGAGCTCCGCCTCTTCAACACCTCCGGGGACGCCACCAATCCTGAGAGGCTGTATGATCTGGTCGCAGTGGTGGTGCACTGTGGGAGGTGCGTACGCCACACCGGACAGAGGCGGGGGCAACACGGCCACGTCACTGTCCCTCACAGCGGCATTCTGGGAAACATTGTTGAAATAATAACACGTAGTTAAAAGTCATAATAATGTCAGGGTCTGAATGACTCATCCGTCATAATGGAGCTCTGTCTGAATATACACAGCATCTCTGTCAACACAGAGTGAGCGGGTGTTGGTCATAGAGCTACAGTGTGTGTGTGTTTGTTCACCACTATGTTGTTACACACATAAATGAACCATCAATTCAGATGATCTAACTTTACATCACATTGGGACGTTATGCAGTATACGTCTAACTGATGTGAAGACACTTCAGCCGGTACTGACTTCACTGTCACACTGGGCTAAACGCTAGGAATCACACTGTGACCAGACAGCATTTTAATGAAGACATTTGATTTAATGAAGACAGTTGAATAATAGACATTTACTAAATTGTTGACCATGTTGTAGGTCATGACCTGCATCATCACCTAGAACTCAGATTAGTGCTAAAGTCAAAGCAGCTGCAGGTCATAGGACTGTCTCACAGGTTTGGAGCTGAGACCACAACTGATCGGTGATGTTTCTGTCAAAAATTGTGAAGCGTTTCCTGACTTTACATGAACTTCACAAAATCATCACCGATGCAGTTTCCTGTGCTGACACGTGGCAAATTAACCATATCTGATTTTCATTTCCGTCTTCGGCCTTCCTCCACAAAGCACCACTTCTTCTTGGCGCCCCCTAGGGAATGCACTCGTCACACTTTGAAAACCGCTCATCTAATTTTAATATGTTATATAAGAGGACTGAAGTGTTCAGAAACAAGTGTTTAAAGACATATTTTTGTTTCGTTTCAGTGGTCCAAACAGAGGTCACTATATTGCCATTGTAAAAAGTCATGACTTCTGGTTGCTGTTTGATGATGATATTGTAGAGGTGAGTTGACTTTTACTGTACTGCTTTGCCTTAATCACACTCAGTTTTGATGGGTTTTTATGTCTCTAACATTGTTGTTCTTTATGTGACATTTCCTTGCAGAAAATTGATGCTCAGGCCATAGAAGAGTTCTACGGCCTCACATCTGAAATCTCCAAGAACTCCGAGTCAGGCTACATCCTCTTCTACCAGTCCAGAGACTAAATGAGGAATTTTTTTTTAATCCCACAGAAAGAGAGCAGGAAAAATTATTAAATAATCTGTTCCCTGGCCGTGGGCGAAACAGTGGACCTTGAACGCGCCGCAGCAGCTCGTACGGTGTCCTACCTGCTCGCACAGCTGTAATCAATACCTGTGCTTTTTACTCACTCTGCGCTGCAGCTCTGCCTATGTACCAGCTGCCCCCCTCCCATCTGCCCTCCCCTTCCCCCTCCCCATGACCCCCGTGTCCTCCCTCTCCCATCACCCCCTACAGATCGGCTGGACGCTGCTGCCTCTGCTGCTGCCGCTGCAGGGACAACGAGATGATGATGAATGAAAAAAAAAAAAAAACAAAAAACTGCATCACGATTGTCTGAAGACTTTGAATGAGGCCTGTACAGATGTTGCTTGGTATGATTGGCGTATTAGTTTTTTTTTTCTTTGCCTGGGGTGTGGGCTTGACTGGCTATTTAATAATTCATATGATGTAACATTGGCCCGGTGTCTTTACCCCCCCACCCCACCCACCCCCACTCACCCTAAATCTGCACTGGGATTGGCTGAGAGCAGATCATGTTTTGTGATCCTAGATGGTAAAGGAGGACAGGTGGGGGAGTGTCACACACTCCAGAGGGTTACACTGGTGTGTGTGTTTCTACAGTGTATAGAATGGTATTTGTATAAATATAACAAGAAGATAATATTATCATTGGAAACAAAATGCTAGATCCTTGAGAAGATGTATTAACACTATGGTGCACTTTTGATACCGTTTTGTAGGTGTTGGCGAGTTTCCTGTGAGGGTTTGCTTGAAAAAGGCCTGTTGTGAAGCGATCATTTTCTGTTTTAAAGAAAAAGTAATAAAGCCTGTAAAGACCGAGGCCCGTGGTGTGATCTGCTTTCTGTCCTGCAGGTGCTGCTGACTGATGACTCATACCAGCTCACCGCCGCCCCCCGGTGGCGTGAGTGAGTCCGCTGAGCTTTTCCTCACTGCAACAGGAGTTTATTTTGAATCCATTTAGATTCGCAGAGGCGGAAAAAAAACAGTCACCACGGTTCGGTGTGATCAGATAGTGTATGTGCACATCAGTCACTCAGTCTGACAGAGGCACAGCTGCGGGGACGGAGAGATGAGGCAGAGAAGATGGAGGACAGCGGAGGGGGAGGAGGTGGGAGGCAGGTGACACACATCGAGGTTGCCGTTAATAGCACAGACGGGACAGGAATAGCAGGGCGTCGCAGGAGGAAAGCAACTCCCTGCATCCAGAGGCAGCATCACATCTGAAACCAGAACCGGGCTAGAAAAAAAAAAAAAGACCAGCATTGGTTTATGTTCACGACTGAACCTGAGGATTGGTTTTCATGATCAATGAATCTGTCTGGTTCTTCTCCCGTAATGAAGTCAGGTTTTTGTTCATCCCTAAAATGTAAAGAACGGTGTTAAATGTCTGTTTCCCAAAACCCGAAAATGACAAAGGTTTTGGTCTGGAGGCTCTGGGTGTTCAGTTACTGACGAGAGGAGCCAAGAAACCAGAACATGTTCATGTTTCAGGAGCTGAGGCAGGAGAACGAACACACTCCAGCAGATCAGTATCAAACAGGAGCCTGAATTTAGCCACTGCACAACAGGTCAGACACCAGCTGTCTGTCAGAACCAAAGATGATAGTTTAAGAATACAGAGAACGTTGGCCTGTCCGCAGCCCAGGACAAAGATGTGCATGGAATATTTGACTCCTCAGTTTGAACCACAACAGTCTTTGTATTTTAAATATAGTTCTCTGCTGGTGCTGCTGGATCTTCGTTTATTGTCCATTTTTTCTTTAACATTTACTATGATATTAAGAGGATACAGGTGTCAAACACCCTGGTCCAGTTTTTAAAAAGTTTAGTCAATTTAAAAATATATACTTTAAAAAAAAACATGTCTGTTATCATTGTTGATAGACTCGTTATTACCTGATATTTATTGATTATTGTCACCTTTAGTTTTAAGGGTTTTTTAGATCGGGATTAGAATTAGATTTAGTTCAGGTTTAGGGCAAAGTATTTAGGATCGCATTGTTTTGAATAAATATTAGGATCAAACTTGGAAGTGAATACTGTCATCAAGTGGTACACAGAGTGCGCGCACGTGCGTGCGTGATATTTTCCTCCTCTTAATAGTCCGTCCAGTTTGAGTGAGTGTGGCTCATTCAGGACCACTCCATCACCGCCGACCCTGCTCCTCCTCCTCCTCCTCTTCCTCCACCTCTCCCTGTCTTCCGCCGCTGCTCGTGCACAGCCGCAGTCCACACGCATGGCGCTGCACCGTTAACGGCAGAGCCTCCTGTCGCTTCTTTCTTCTTCTTCTTCCTCCTCCTCCTCTTCTTCTTCCACCATCTATCCATCCAACCATCTATTCGTCCGCCTCTGGCTCGCAGGCAGGAGCAGCACCAGCACCAGCACCAGCATCACCTCCACTCCACAGCGTCCTTGCCTCCACCGGGCTGCCGTCTCTCTCCCTCATCAATAACATGGAAACACAAGGCGGCGGTTCTTCCACCATTTAGACCGGGAGTCTCTCCTCACAGAGTCAAGGTAGGAGCGGCATCCTTAAAGACCGAGGATGCAGACACGTTTCTTCCTCTCTCTCTTCCATCCATTCATAGCAGCCTTTCGATGACGTGGATCAGCTCCTGTGGGCTTTTTTCCCTGGTGATGAAGGTGCACAGCACCGGGGGAGGCAGCGCCATATGGTGCATTTGTGTGAAGGTGCATGCAAAGACTCGGGTGCGGCATGTGTGTGTATGCGTGTGTGTGTGTGTGTGTGACAGCTGCGTGAATTGTTGCCGGTGTTCTCCTAAAAACGTGATAAATGGAATGAGCTGCACAGAATTCCTTCCTTCTCTGATCTCCTCCTCCTCCTCCTCTTCTTCCTCCTCTTCTTTCTAGTCCATACATTAGCAGATGCTGCTCCCTACATGTGCTCCAACCTATACCTACAACGTGCACTGCAGGCTGTGCAGGCCCATTGTGTGATAATGTAATTTACCAGGCCACAGGATTTAATCCTCCAGAGGGAGGATCCATCATGGTGGCTGCCTGCAGCTGCTCAGATTTAAATTTGATTGCTGTGCACAGGTTGATCATGTTAAAGCAGCGGATATCGGCTCTGACTGGTACCACAGCAGTGTGTGTGTGTGTGTGTGTGTGTGTGCAGGCACACAGTAGTAATAATAACCTTGACAGAGTCTGTTTTTGTGTCTGGAGAATGACTAATACACAGGTCGATTAAAAGAGACATAAAAAAATGAGTGGTGTGTAAAAAGGTCAGGAGGGCATCAGTAGCTTCACTTATTTTTCTATAAATTACATGAACAAATCACGCAGAAAAGTTTGTCAAGTGGCGTGGTATTCCATTTCAACCCACCTGAAAAAAAATGAAAAAAGTGACGCACGACATCTATGTCAAGTGAACGTCGCCACAAACTTATCTCCTAAGTTTCGAGTAAAATTCCAGTCTCTTCCTGGTCTCATCAGGCTCATTTAATCCCTTGTTTTAGATTTGAGTAGTACTTTGCACAAATACTACATCGCAAGTATGTGCACAGAGTTGATCGACTTAGCTTTATGGCTGTGTTGTTACGTAGAAGCAGGCGTAAATGTTCGGCCCAGCGTTCTCCTACTGGATACAGAACAGTCACATGATCTAAGCTGATAAATGTATCAAAATACAGAACAATATTCTCCCACTGTTCAAATGAGCTCAGACGAAGGGTGTTTATAATATTTAGGAAATGCATGTGAATTGTTTTTGAATTGTTCTTATCAGTTTCTCACATTTTACAGAAACAGCCGGTGAGAGTGAGACGTTTCATGTCCGGCTGCCCTTCCTCTTGTTTAAATATGTGGACTATCCCTTTAAATTGTAAAGGCTAAAAATACAGATAATAGTATCATATCAGATTTGACCAACAGAGTATTTCTGTTCCACTGTTTGTACTGTGTAAGTGATGACTGGTGGAGGTTCACGGTCTGTGTGTCTGTTCTTACCTTTCAGACGGGGGGCACAATGAGTGAAGAGCTTCGGGTCAACCCCGGCTGGCTGACCCCTGATCCCACCGCATGGGCTAGCGGAGGTGGGGGACCCATGGACAACAGCAGCAGCAGCCTGGGGTCGTTTCCACCTGACGTCTCCCTGCCACCCAGCCAGCTCCCTCTGCTGGTCAACCCCTGGGACATAGTGCTGTGCTCCTCAGGGACTCTGATAGCCTGTGAGAACGCCCTGGTGGTTCTGGTCATCTGGCAGAACCCGCCCCCCCGGGCCCCCCTGTTCCCCCTGCCCGGGAGCCCGGTGCCGGCCCGCCC